ACCCCTCCTTCTGGTAGACATATGCCAAATTTGGCCCTTTTAAAAAGAGAGTGAGAAACCCAAATGAGAAAAAACAAAGGACTATCATTGTTCTTTTTGGAAGCCCCAGAATTAATTTACTAGAGTTTCCCCCCTCTAAAGCAGGAAGTCCAATAAAACTAAAATAGAGGAACATAACTAGCATCTTATGGGGTTTGAAGAAATAGATAACCTCCTGCATGTTGCTTAATTAAACATTCATCTTGGGGAAAGTTTGAGGCAGCCATTTAGGAGAAGAGTAAGCCTTTGAGGAAGAATTTGGACAAGAGATACTGTAACACAGAGATAGAAAAAATGTGAGAAATAACCTCATATTAAATAAAATAAATAAACTTTATTGTCATTGTATGTGTATACACAGTGTACACATACAACGAAATTTACTTGACCCCCAAAGACCAGGTCCCACACACATAATTCCCAAACACACTCCCACCCACAATTCCTCACCCCTAAGACCACCCAAACATCCACACAACAGACCAAGTAATACTGTCCAACAGTTCACTGATGGTGGCCCTTTAGTTCATTGTTGAGTGCAACTATAGTTCTGGGGTAAAAACTATTCAGAAAACGTGTGGTCCGAGTTTTAATTATTCTGTATCTTCTGCCAGAAAGCAACAGTCCAAAAAGATTGTAAGCAGGATGGGAAGAGTCCCTGAGAATGTTATACAACTTCCTCAAATGAGATTCGAAGATGTTGTCCAGGGCTGGTAGCTGAAATCCGATAATATTCTGGGCAGTTTTAATGATTCTCTGTAGAGCTTTTTTGTCCACTACAGAGCTACTTCCATACCATGCAAGAATGCCGTATGTCAGGACACTCTCAATGGTGCTGAGATAGTAGGACAGAAGTAGATGCTGAGATAAATTTATCTTCCTGAGCATTCTCAGGAAGTACAGCCTCTTCTGTGCCTTCTTCACAAACATGTTAGCATTCATAGTCCATGAGAGGTCCTCCGAGATATAAATGCCCAGAAATTTAAAACTACCCACCCTCTCCACCTCCTCACCATTTATGTACAATGGTAGATGTACATCTCTCTTCCTCCTGAAGTCAATTATAAGTTCTTTAGTTTTTGTGGTGTTAAGTGTGAGATTATTTTCATTACACCACAATGTCAGTCCTTGTACCTCCTTCCTGTAAGCAGACTCATTGTTCTTATTAATGAGCCCCACCACTGTTGTGTCCGCAAATTTAATAATTGCGTTGGTGTTATACAGTGGGGTGCAGTCATGCGTATATTAACTTTATTTAGTATAAAATGGAACAGAGAGACACCTTGACAGGCTTTCAAGGTTATATGATTGTATCCTACAACAATCAGGTACCATTGCTGATATATCCTGAACTGTCTGTTTTTTGACCTAGCTTATCAGAAGGGCTGACAGAAAGAGGGATGAGAAGTCTGAAAAAAATGTAACATATGAATTGGTGGAAGCAAATATGGTTTGCAAGATTCATAAGACACAGAAAGGCAATAGTGTTCGTGCAAACCAGTGTAAGTGGTCTTCTTTTCTTTATTTCCTTTTCTTTAATTACTTTGACTTTTTTCTTACTCTTTTTCTGTTCTCTCTGCAACATCGCATACTCCGAAAGTAAAAAGCAAAATGGATATGCATGTAACTGGTTAAGGACGGTTGGCATAAATTATACTTCTATTGCAAATATATCATGAAGTTCTAGCAAACACTTCTGCATGATAAACTTAATATATAGTAGAGGAAGCCACATAGATATCTATCCAATCAGGAATTAATCATCTAAGTTTAGAAAAAAAAGAGGATTACAACCTAGATCATTGCACAGCATAATGCTACAAACATGTCCCAAATAAAAAAAAAAAAGTTCAAACAAGGCAAAAAGAGCCCTTCCTCCTTTACACCTAACTATGACACATGCAATCCCTGGTAACATTTCTTTTCTACCATGGCCCTCTGATGGCACCAAGATCTTGCCTTCATCTTGACCCCAGCCAATGGGTAAGACAACCTAAATCATCTTTAGTGTACCAGCACTAAAGTACATGTAATCCTTGATTTACGACTGGCCGCTTAGTGACTGTTTGAAGCTATGATGGACCCAAAGCAAGGTACTTACAATCTCCTTCACAGTCAAGTGATTGCAATTTGAGTGCTTAGCAACTGGCCTGCATTTACATCTGTTTACAATGCCCCGCAGTATTGTGACTGAAATTTATGTTTTTTGCTGGAAACCAATGTTTACTTCTGCTTTCCAGAAAAAAAATACCAATTTTGGGCAGTGGGTTTGTCGAACAACTGTAGATTTGCTTAACCTTTTACAACTTTTACACAAAAAAAGTTGTAAAATCAGGTTGGTCATGTGATGACCCATTTAATTACCGGCATGACTTACAGTCGTAAGTTGAAGACTACCAATAATAGTTTCCCTCTTATTCAGACATACTCCAAAGGTAGCCCCAACATGCATAAAAGCTGTTATAATGTTACCTGGTATCTTGGAGGAAAATGAAGAGACAGTCAGCGACTAAGAACAAAGACAACAGAGTTCAGATCCCAGCAGGTCTGGCACAAGGAGCATGTTGTGGGTTCCATTCATCAAGGACCTTAGTTTGGCTGGATCCAGGAGAGGAGCCTTTTCTGCCATGGCACTTGCCCTCTGGGACATCATTCTCCACAAAGTGAGATTGGCTCCAACTCCTTAGCCTTCCAGGAAATACTTACCGTAATACTTGGTTCTACCATCAGGCCTAGAGATACCATGGAAGTATGAAGCCTGTTACATGGTTGCATTGTGAGTAGTTTGGAATGCACTCTCCCTTTTTGTTATTGTAGTTTTTAACTGTTTAAACTGTGTTTTAATGTTTATGGATTTAACTATCTTATTTGGCTTTGCTTTTAATTGTGTGCGATCCAATAAAATCCCTGGAGGCAAAAGAATCAGAAGGAGAAGGTTCACAGGTAATAATTAAATAAAAATCATTAAGTTTATAAGAAGTTATTTATGATGCTACTAGAAACGAAGTGCAAAAATGTGGCCTGCCAGTTTTCCCATTATAGCCCCATAGTAATTTTACAGGGCAAGAGGAATGCCTTAACTTTTTGCCAGCGACTAAAGAGTCCATTGGATTGAGATGAGCAGCTATAGAAATGGAATATGTAAATAAAAATGTACCAGTTTCACCCTAGGAAACTCTTTCCCTAAAAGCTCTGGTCCCTGTCTTTTTTGGAATAAGGCCCTTCACAGGCCACACAAAACCTTGTAGGGGTCTTGCCACTCCTGATTTGAATCCTGTCTCCTCCAGAACACAAAGCAGTTGACATGCTGTTTGCTCTGTCTCCATTCTCTTCCTTCCAGTTTTGTTTTCATAATTAAGCTAAAATAGATTGATTTTGTAGGAGAGTGGTGTCAAATCTATGGTGGCAAAAAGAAATCTAGGTATTTTATTAAAAGACAAATGTTTCTGTGAGCTGCAGGTAGGACTGAGTGACAAAGTTCCAACAGAACAGCATCTATAGCTCAGGGTTTAACCGTGGGGTCCTTGGTGTTTTCTGAGTTTGGTTATTGGCTTGCAGATGTTTGATTGCCTAATTAGGTAATAACATCAGTGCAAGCTGAGTGTGGAGTTTGCTCCCTGTTTATATACAGTAGCTTGCCCTATCAGTTTTACTGCAGGTATGATTTTCTCCTTGGTAGTTGCTTGGTTAGGATAGTTTTCTGCTTTTTTGTTTGCCTGGTGTTAATCACTACTTATCTGGGTGTTGGCTGCTGGAGATGTGTTCTGCTCTTTTTCTTATCTTTTGTATTGTCTCTTTTGAATGGTGTGTAAATATGATTTATTTCTATGTGGCAATTGATGACTGATTTGTCTAAATGTCAAGGTTCCAGGAATTGGAACAATGAGCAAACTCCACACTCACTCATACTGAAGATGATCCAAAATTATTGAGGGAGATCCAACAAAAATAAATTGCTAGAAGGTGGATAAACTCACCTTGCAGCTCTGGAATACAAAGAACCACCACCTTCTAACAATGGTAGAGAACATGAACTATCTTGCAGCACTAGATTCCTGAATCACACCATACTGACCTTTCCACAAACAAGTCCATATATGAATAATACCAGAACTCTTGTACATATTGTACTCACGTAGAGTATATGTGAGCAGTTTGGAACTCACATTGTCAAAACAACAACAAAAAAGAAAATATATCGGTCCAAACAGCTTTACAACTAAAAAAAAAAAAAAGCTCATGCGTGTTTTAAAAAGTGCCCCCTTCCTTTAATATTATGTTTCCATTCTTCTTTTTTCTACAAAACATCTCAGAACGGCATGTTACAGATCTGTCTCATTCATGTAGATTAAAGCCGTGAAAGAGTTCCCGCCAAGATCACCCAATGGATTTCCCCCTCCACTGTCCCAATTCGGCCGGAAGAAAAGTTATTCTCTACTCATACAAATGCCCGTTTCGTAGTTTTTCATCCTGCCTCCAATTCTGTCCCCGTCGCCGATTCCTTTTGAATCCCTCCCCGTACCCACCTCATGTCGTATAGAAAGGGCTGCTGCGGGAGGTGGGCGACCTATGGCCGGACACGAAGCCCCAGCGGGGGGGGGATGTTCTTTGCACTTTAAAGGGGAGAAAGGCGAGGATCTCCCCTCATGCAAACGCGGCTGTCTATTAGCCTTGACGAGCCCTATTGGCAAGGATAAAGGAGGAGGTGGGTGGGAGGCTCGTCAGACGTTCAAGCAGCGAGTTCTTTTCTTCTCCGGGATGCATCGGTCCCCGTCAGTCTGTCTCTCTCCCTCCCTCTCTCTCTCCCTCTCTCCATCTTTCCCATCCTGGGATTTACAAAACTGGCCGAAACGCCCGCCTCGCCTTCTCGGCAACTGTTCTCAGCGATCGAGGTTGCGATCCCCGGCCCCGCCCCTTCCCCCTCCCCGCGCGTGCGAGTGTCCGCGCTGTGCGTGCTCGCGCCCGCGGTCTGCAGGGTTTCTCAACTCTGCCGCCTTCTTCCCCGGGCTCTTCCTTGCTCTCCTCCCACGCCCTCCCCCTTTGCCCGCCGCCTGGAATGAAGATGGTGGCGAGCGTCCGGGTGCAGAAGCTGGTTCGCCGGTACAAGCTGGCGATCGCCACGGCGCTGGCCATCCTGCTCATCCAGGGCCTGGTGGTGTGGAGTTTCAGCAGCCTGGAGGAGGACGATCAGGGAGAGGTGAGGGCAAGGCAAAAAGCAGAAGCGGGAACCTGCGAGGATTGCATCGCGCGGGAGAGCTGCTATCCCCCCCCGGGGAAAGGAAGAAGGCTGGCGCCGGGGAAAGTGGGCGCTGGGGGGTCGGGGTGGGATCGGTGCCAAAAGCTGCCGGATGGACTTTCCAGTCTGGAGCTGGGAGAGCTAGCGGCGGCGCATCGGATCAGCCCTGATACGGGTAAATGGTGCTCTCTGGAGTAGAAAGGAGTCCGTCCGCTCTCGGAGGCGTGCGGGTGTTGATGCCTTCGGGTCAGGCGTCACTAGTGCGTGAAGAACTGAGTGGGGTAGAGGTGATGGACGGGAGCGGAGTACTTTGCCACGGGGAATTGCAATGGGGAAGTGGGAGAGGGGCCGAAAAGCAAGAGCCGCCCGTACGATCGAGATATGATAACGGGGATGGGTGGGTGGGGGGAAAGAATCCATGTAGTTTGGGGAGTGGATAATTCGTGTGGCAAAAGCAGGGTTGAATCTTGGAATTGGCCTTTGGAAAAAAGAGTGAGGACTGTCATACAGCGAACGAAGCGGCGAGGATTCGCGTGCCGTAGCTGTTTCTCTGAAGGAGGACTGGGAGCTGTTTCCCAAAACCTCAGAGTCTTGTGAAGTTATTGTAATTGGAGCTTGGAATGAATGCAACCGAGCCGTTGGTTTGGTCTTGCGGAGACCGCGCTTCTTTGTACTCCCTCCGAGAAAACTTGGTGTGGCGATCTAGAGGCACGTAATACCGAGCAGTTGGCAGATTTCCCTATGGATCCTTCTGCAATTAAGAAACATGGGTTATGAAGCCCAGCTTCCCTTTAATAAGAGCGATTATATTATAGGAAGCTCCCGGATTTCTTTTGGAACTAGAGATCTGAAGATTTGCCTGTGTTTGGTAAACGAAATGCAGAAGGGTGGGATGTGAGGTGGTGTTGCAGCAGGAGGGAATAAAGGGATGTTAAGTGGTGTTAAATCATCATTAAATACACTACAGGAAAAATGGAAAATATCTGGAAAATTGACAGATAAATCCTCTACTTCAAGGCTGTGTTGCATGTTAAAATTGCTCTGAGTTGCTCTGTGATGCTACTTTATTGTGAGCTATATCTATATATGGATTTTATTTTTCTCACTCTGTAGTATACAAAGAATCTCTTTTGGCTTGGTTATTTCCACTGGACATGGCAAAAATAATCTCACCCCAGGAGGTGAGCTGCTGCTAGATATTCTAGACAGTAATCAAGCTACTGAGAGAGAACAGGGCCTGCATGGGGGAAGGAGGGGGAGTATCCAGAGCGTCAGGACAGAGACTAACAACTTAAGCCCTACTATTCACCATGTAGAAATATAGTAGCCCAGACAGGGAAATATTTCAAGGAGGAGAAAAGTAAAACAGGTGTAATTCCTGCTAGGCCCTCAATAAATGATTGTGCCTGGTTCTATCTATATTACCATGTTTATTGTTCTTCACTGAGTTTCAAGCTAAAGTTGGTTTGGCATTTGCCTTTCAGTCACATTCAGGATATATGTACTTACGTTCAGAATTCTGAATGTACATTGAAAAATTCACAGCAAAGGTCAACATGGCCACCTCAAGTTTATTGAAGAAGTAAAACAAAAATAGTAATAATGCCTACCATTTTTTGTTTGTTTCATTGATTTAATAAATATTTGTGAGGGGGAAATATCCTTGGACGTGACTAGAGAAGCATCAACTTGAAATAACATAGAAATGTTCATTTTGTTACATATGAGAATTTGGAAATTTGGTCACGCTAAGTCATTCCATAATTTTCAACATGCCTTAAGCTGAACAGATGTGTGTCTGTAGGTGTGTGTGTTTGTGTGTGTGTGTGTGTGTGTATAATTAAAGTAGTTATGACTGGAGTTTAATCCTGGTAAAGACATTCAAGCACCTGAAGAATTTGAATTACTTGATGCTGTGAAGTTCTCCATTATTCATTCCTAATTTGTGTTCTTCAGAATTTGCATTTCCCCCCCCCCCTGATTTTCTTAATATAATAGAGCAGCTTTTTCAAAGTCGTATTGCTTACGGAATGTCCAAGTTATATGGTGAGATACATGTACTGTTTTTTGCAGGTATATAAAATCGCCTGGTTGTTTGAGATGGGCTTGATCCTTCTTATAAGGCCTACCACAAGAATTGTTAATATGCCTCTGACTCACATGCGACAGTCTAATTATGAAGAGATTTATGTTTGGCTTTTCTGTTTGGAAAATCAAAAGTTATGGGTGACTTAAGAACTTGCATCCTCTAAAAAACAAGAGGAAAGTCTCCAAACCCCTTATCATAGTTGAGTACTTTCCTGCTGGAGATAGTCTTGATTTACAATCGTAATTGAGACTAGAATTTCTCCTGATAAGCAAGTCACCCCTAATTTTATGACTTTTTTCACCCATTAATTTTGTTTCTTACAAGCCGGCTGGGAAGGTCGCAAATAGCCATCACATCACACACACACACACACACACACACACACACACACACATCGATGCTGCAACAGTTTAAAATACATGCCAGTTGTCAAGCACCCAAATTTTGTTCACATGACAGTAGGGATGCTGCAATGTTTGTAAGTTCGAGGACCAGTTACAAGTCACTTTTTTCACTGCCTTTGTAACTTTGAATAGTCACTAAAGGAACGGCTGTACATTGAGGACTTCCTATACTTATGTTCAGATTCTGCGACTTTCAGAAGCACAAAGTATTGCTTGGCAGCTAAATTAAAACTGCCACATAAGAAGAAGGAACTAATGTTCCTTCTTAATTAAATGCAATTGAAGAAGGCATAGAAAATCAAACTTCCGGACAAGAAGTTCTACCATTGTGACAGCCACCAGTTATGTGGATGCAGTCGGGTAATAATCCACATAACTGTTGCCCTCTGTTGCATTAGCAGCTTTGCCCTACCTGGCACTCTCCATATATTTTTACTACAAATTGTGAATCAGTGGGGCAATCACTGGGGATTATGAGAGTTGAAGTCTAGCACATCTGGAGAGCAAGAAGCGGGACAAGGATCTTACAATTAGAGAACAGGCTAAGTAGATTATGCAAAAGATAAATCAGTCATATTGGTTGGAGCCTGAAAAAAAGTCTTGGGGAATATATGCTTCACACTCTGGGTTTAATTAATTGACTTTGGACTAAATAATCATACAGTAAAGCTCCCCTAAGACTGTTATTTCAGAAGAATGTGATAAAAAGTAATATTCAGCCTGGCAACCTTTGGGCTAAAGTTTCATCCATCCTAGCAAGCATGGGTAAGAGCTATGTCCAAAATATGCTGGCTTTCTCAATTCAATTCATCTAGTCTGCCTGTTATTTTAATATTAGAGAGCTTTTTTAGAAGTCCAATTTGGTGTCTTGCCATCTGCTGTGCTAGAGGTCACTTTCAGTGTTCTACCAAATAAGGAACACATTTGCCCAATAGAGCTGTTAAAATGGCTGGACAAATCCTTCTGTATTGATCCTTCTGTGAGAAAATATTTATGGAACTGCTTTCACATCTGTTACCTCTCCTTCTTAGATGCTCAGGAGCTTTCTGGGTTGTTGTTTTTTTCTTGTAGTGGACCCTAATATCAACAACTAAGTTACTGTTGTGATTCATCTTGTTGAACACGTCGGAATATTCTAAAGCAATGTTTCTCAAACTTGGTAACTAAAAGTTGTGTGGACTTAAGGTGCTGGCCTAGACACTGGGAAACTGTGAGTTCTAGTTTTACCTTAGGTCTGAAAGCTGGCTGGATGATTTAGGCCAGCCTACTTCGCAGGATTGTTATGGGAAAATAAGAAGAGAAAGAAGTATTGTCTGTGTGTTGGCTGCCTTGAGTTACTTATAAAAGCGGGAAATAAACAAATACTTTAGATTGTGCAATAGTTTATTTTTGTTATCTGAAAGCGTTTATGTGTCTTCTCATTCAAGTGAAGACATGGAAGCCATCCTTCCTAAGATTTCTGTTTAATCTCTGATCACTTTATTGACCAAGCCAGTATTCTTTTGAAAAATGCAGTAGCTACATTATCATGCAAATTAAAACAGGCTAAAAAAGGAGAAGTCAGTATAGATTTAATCAAGCCAATATAGAACTGTGATTCACAGTGCATATAAAATAATTAATGCAAAAGATGATGATAGTACTTTTCTTTGCAGAGAGGGTGGTGTGATGTAAATAAATTAGAGGCTTATCTTTTATCTGCCTTGATTTTTATCAGGTTTTGATTGGATGGTTGCTTAAGGGACTTCTGTCAAAAAATAAATTCCCAGTGTTTAGTTACTGCTTCTCTGAAAAAAATATCCCTTAAACCAATTACATCCTAAGATGTAATTTTAGGTCAATGGCAAGCAAGATGACCTATTGATTTTGGGGCTGTTGGTTAGTAGTTGGAGAAGTGATACTATACTACAGTCCTAAGTGTGTCTGTTCTTGAACTTAATGGAGTTTACTGTTGTATTTGACAGAGGAGCGCGGCTTGAATTAATAGTGAAGAATTCAAAGGCTCTCCTAGTCATACTCCAAAAGTCAGTTGCCAGCTGAAACTGAACTCCCAGTTCATGGCTCCTTTATTTCAGGAGAAATCCCACTGATTGTATTATGAAGATTCAGGAGCGATAGTCTTTATGCATTTTGATATTGAAATATAAAAAAGAAACCAGCCTTTCCCAACACACCTTTTATCTCTTCATGATATATGAAAGCACCAATGGTTGCCTGCAGCTCTGTGTGATTCCCTAAAGAGACAATTAGTTGCAAAGTGAGTTGTTTAAATCACGCCTTTTAAAGCAACAGTTTGGGATTTTCTGTTTTCCGAAAACTCTACTGCCCTTCTTGATTTCTTCAAGTTCTGTGTGAAGACAAAAGCTTTCGCTAAGTATGGTGTTTGTATGGCCTACCTTAAGAGAGAAATTGGATGCTGTTGTGGGCTGTGTTGTTCAGGAACAAAAATGGGAGTTCTGGAAGAGAAG